TCCTGCAGCTCCGACATTTGGGATCACCATGCTCCAATACCTTAAGAGCTTAAACTGTGTATGCTCCAGCAAATGCACGAGTATAAACTATGTTAATGGCGATCCGAAACCCTAGGTCAACGCCGGTCAACGCGTAACCCTAGGTCAACGCCACTCAACGCGTTACGATAAAAAAAGTCAACATACGGTGATCTGAAACCCTAAGTTAGCGCAATGTGACAGAGATAGTCAGTTCAAAGTCAACTCAATGACACGAGCCAAACTCAACTCACTGGTGGTAGACTCGAGACTCCGACGACGGCCAGGCGATAAACGCAGCGCCGGAAGGACTTCGGCTATTCGTCAAAGCATTGAATAGACCGAAAATCGAAGGAGTCGAGAGATGAAGCCAACTACAGGTCCTTTGTGCTGACTGAAGGCTAGACCAATCACATCCAAAGTATTCCAGCCTCTTCTATAAAAGAAACGAGTCCGGAACGCTTTGGAGGGGGTATCTGTAGGCATCGAAAATTGCCTATGGGTCTCCACAAACAGCTCAACGTTAAGGAAAGACGATGAACGTCACCATCTGGTTCACAGAAGCTTGATTGACGTCGATGAACGCTTGAAATGAATCAGCAAACTATGTGAAGCAACGGAGTTTCAGAATAATAAAGATACGAACTGATCGGGAGCCCCATGTCACTTACAAAAGACGAAATGTCCTTCGTGTCTCATTTACTCCACAGATGATCTAATCATTGGAGCTTATAGAACTCCTCGCCGGCTTTCCAACGCACTTTGAATCGTTCAAATCCGAGTTCAGACAAAGAAATTGCAGCGAAAACAGTCAAACGGGCATTGAAAACGTCTCAAGGCTGAACTGAGGCACCTACGGTGTCTCGGCCAAGTCAAGACACCCCAAGGGTGTCTCGGCGAAGCCAAGACACCCCTAGGGTGTCTCAGCGCAGATTTGACCCCTTTAAGTGGTTTTAACCGCTCCGCAACCCCTCATGCCTATAAATACAAGTCTTAGGCCTCATTTTTTTTGGGCTGGAATTCTCGTGCCTCGGCGAAGCCCTGCCGGATTGAAGACTTAAAGTGCACAGATTTCAAGAGAGGAGGAGGAGAGATCGGATCTAGTTCTTCAACGCAAGAGAGTTCTTCGTCAGATCTACATCACCCGCACCTAATCCTTAGTATTATCCCGTTGTGGTAATACTAAGAAGAGCAAATATCTCGCTTTTATCGAGATAGGCGCTACAGTTTTCTCGATCCCTTCGCGGATAGACGAAGCTCTGCCCAATTTTTCAGCAATCAGATCTGATTGACGGTGGTCCACGGATAAACCCCGGCACAGGCAAAGACACCCACGCAAGCAGAAGACCGATAAACGATCTCTGCGTTTGTTTGATAAAGTTGTAAACTTTTTATTTTCATTGTGTAAAGAGATCTTATAAAAAGATCGACTTTTTTATTTTATTCGAGTTTATTGTAACGACTAAAGTTGTAATAGATTCGATAACAATGGAAACATCAACTTTCACCGCAAACAATCTTGCCCTTATCATCAGGGATGATCAAGCTAGATGGGATTTTTCTAGTGATGCTTGAAAAAAGTTTAGTTGTAGCGAGTCCATAAATCTTGGAGACGATGCTGACTCTCCTTTGCCTACCTCACAATCCCCTCAAGTACACATTTTAGAAGATGAGGACACTCCTCCATCTAAGGAAGCACCTGTCACATCAAGTTCTAAGGTAAATGCATGTGTTGGTAAGGGTAAGGCTCGTAGGATCAACCTAGATAATGAGCTCATACTAAAAATAATGGAAAAGATAGATGTATTCAGCGCTAGGATGAAATGTGTAAATATGCATTGGACCGAGAAGTTATCCACGGTCCTAAATGCTCATTTACAAGACTTTGTAATGCTAAGCTAGATACATTCTACCATCACCTCTTTTTGAATGAGCACGAAGCAATACTATTTATGGGTATATTTTCGGTTGGTCAAAAAGAGATGATTGATGCCTTTTTCAACAAAGAGGGTTGAAGTCTGATAGAATATGTGTGTACGTGGTATTTTGTGATTCTCACTTCTAACATACTTGTGAAATCCTCAGGTGGTGAAAGGCTATTATTGTTTAATTTAGGCAACTACTCGTAGGAATGTTATTTTTATAATATTGTAGTAAGTAGTTATTTTCTTTTATTTTGTAGTAAGTAGTTATTTGCTTTCATTTTGTAGTAAGGAGTTATTTGCTTCCAAATTATAATATTTATCTTCTATGGTTAATATCTTATTGTGTAATTCTAACTTTTAAATTGAAATTGTGATTGCAGGATATTTCCTAAGATGCAAGCAACCTACAACGTACACATATTGTATTGGATGACTATTGCTATGGGTTATTTAGATATTCGGTTCTTATTGATGATTTTTTACGTTTAGGCTATGATGATTGTTAAAATTTCTAAGATTAGCAACCTTGCAATATTTATTGATATTGTACTGGATGACTAACAATGATGATATTGACTAAGTTCTGAGCCCTAAGTCGTAATTTTAATATATGCTCATGTTAGTTCTCAACTGGTGGTATGTTAGTTCTAGTTGAGCCCCTGTTAGTTCTAGTGGCTCTCGTGTTAGTTCTAGGTGATGTCATGTTAGTTCTAACTTCCAGTTAGTGTTATTTCTAATATAAGCGTTAGTTCTAGTGGTATGTTAGTTCTAGTTGAGCCTATGTTAGTTCTAGTGGCTCTCGTGTTAGTTCTAGCTGATGTCATATTAGTTCTAACTTCCAGCTAGTGTTATTTCTAATATAAGTGTTAGTTCTAGTTGAGCCCCTGTTAGTTCTAATGGCTCTTGTGTTAGTTCTAGTTGATGTCGTGTTAGTTCTAACTTCTAGCTAGTGTTATTTCTAACTTCTCGTGTTTGTCTACAATGGGGGTAATCTTACCATGATAGCCATAAACACTTTTTCCTATCCACTTCAACACCAACCAGACACAAGAAAAGTAGAAAATGTCAAATCAACAAAAGTTTTTCCTTTTATTTCATGCAAACCAAACACAAAAAAAGTAAATATATTGGTTTCCCACCATATTTTACATGCGAACCAAACCGAAACAATTAATTTCTTGGAAAAGTTTGAAAAACTCAAAACTTGAGTTTGTTTACATGGAATTGCATTTCCCTATATCTAGAAAACGAACCAAACAACCCCTTATGTGAAATTGTGCTGCTGTGGTGATGAAAATTACAAAAACAATTTTAGGATGACAAGTTAGAAATCTTTACTTGTGAAGTGTGTTTTGATGGGGTACATCCATATTATGTAACAACTATGCTTTGCTAAACGAAGTTCTTATGCAGGTTGATACCTCGAGAAGGAGATTTAAAGAAACATGGCGGTTTGTGAGTCTTCTCCGCTATTTTTTGGGGTCAATTTGTTGCAGTTTAAATCATAGGGACTACCAATTCCAAGAAAGACATGCTTTTGACCAAGTTTTATCTACAGTGTGTGCTAAAATTCTTATAGTTTTCGGGAAGTATATTTTGAAATAGATTTTGACGCATCAAGATTCTTGGCTGCGAAATGGATTTTGAAAAGAAGGGATAAAAGCAATATTCATAATTGAGGTTCCATTTAAGCTACTTTGAACATAAGGAGTAGCCGGTTTCTAAATGGGGCACTCGTCCTGCTCAACGATCATCTCGATCTTGTGCGAAACGCCATGTAGTTAGAGTTGAAACTTGCCTGGGATAGTCTCTCTTCCCGGTAGTTGTGCTTAATTTTTTTGATTGATGGTTTGCAAAAGACTCCACGATCAAGATATATTAACCATGCAAAATGAGGGTCGTGAATTCTAATTCTCTTGCGTTGTGTCCACAAGCTGAAGTGTAGACCCAGTGTGTGAACAGCGACTGCGAGACACCTTTTGGTGTCTCGCCAACGCGATACACATGAGACACAATTGGTGTCTCGCGCGGTGGGTACTTGGGCCGCGCCGGGTTTTGTTTTGGCCCTGTTTTCTTGGTATAAATAGGAATTTCGTGCTTAGGGTTTTGTGCGGCGGTTTTTCAAAGAAAAGGAGAGTTTTTTAGATCTGAAAGGTGAGATCTTGAGGAGAGAAAAAGAAAGAACTTGGAGGGATTGTACAAGAAAAGAGATCATATTTCTTGGGTAAAATCAAAGCATCATCTCTTTGGGACGAGCTTGTGGGTTGTACAAGTCATTGGTGTTCTCCATCATTGTGGAATCTCCATTCACCCCTCCCCATGGACGTAAGCAAGTTTACCGAATCACGTAAATCTTGCGTCTCACTTATTGTATTAGCTATTGATTGTGTTGGTTGGTTATCTCAATATTCAGACCTAGATCTGATATTGGGAAGAGTGTATATCTCACATTGCTGAGATATCTCACTTCTTTTCTTGTTTTCGTTATCGAAATTGGAACATTGAGATTTGCTTGTGTTTTGTAAAAACAAAAGCAATGGTTTTCTCTTGAGGCGATTCACTTCCGCGGCGAGGTGTGCGTATCGGCCCCTAACACGACGACTTCCGTATCGGCCCCTAACACGACGACTTCCTAGATGGTGGTCCCCTCTTTTACATATATCTTCCCACCCACGCTATTGTCCTAGGCAACTATTGGCAATGGATAGATTCTTTTCAAGCTGTGTCTAATGTATAAGTCGTGTCTAATGTATATAATGGGTCTGCTAGAGTTAAGGACTCCCTTATTTTTTTTCTTTCAAAGGCCAGAGACCTTTTCTTCTTTCAGGTTACTGATGACTTAAGATCCAAGTGTTAAAGGAATGACGAGAGAGCGAAAGCTCACAGCATGTGTATATATAAGCGTGTGTATATACAACCATGTTTCCAGACAAACATCTTTTTTAACTTCTCACAATTGTAACACGAGTCTGGCCTAAATTCAAAATTCTAATACGAAATTAAAAAAACCTTTTGTCTGAAAAAGGCAAAAATTTCACATTCAAACAATTAGCCAAACCGAGGAACTTTACTACTTCAAACTTCAAACATACGCATACGGGGCACAATAGACCTCATAAACCGATCACACAGGGCACAATAGACCTCATAAACCAACCACACACAAGAACGCGCACAATAACACCAGACTCTCACACAAACCTCGGACCAGACTCAAAACACCCAGCCTAGCTAGACCAAAACACTTTGCTGACGCTCGGAAATACAAACCAAAAAGCACGGATTTCAACATTCCTTTAGCCGGAGATTTCAATAGCCTTCACCTCAGGCTTCTTAACTTCCTCCTTAGGCACAGTCACCGTGAGCACACCGTTCTCCATCGTCGCCTTCACCTGATCCACCTTGGCATTCTCCGGCAGCCTGAACCTCCTCAAGAACTTGCCGCTGCTCCTCTCGACCCTATGCCACTTGTCATTCTTCTCCTCCTGCTCCTTCCTGCGCTCTCCGCTGATCTGAAGCACTCTTCCCTCCTCGACTTCCACCTTCACCTCTTCCTTCTTCAACCCCGGAAGATCGGCCTTGAAGACGTGCGCCTCGGGCGTCTCCTTCCAGTCGATGCGGGTGTTCGCAAAGGCAGAGGCCTCGCTGAGAGCGCCGCTAGCGCCAGAGGTGTCGAAAGGCCAGCCCTGAAAGGGATCCCACACGTCGAGGGAGAAGGGGTCGAAGACGTTGCTCCTCTGACCAAAGATTCTAGGGATCAAAGCCATCTCTCTGCAGAATGATCTCAAGATGAAAAATTCTTCAACTTCTTCTGACTTCGGTAATTAGAGCGCCGCTTTCTCACAGTGTGACCATGAGAAAGAGGGAGGGGCAACCTTATATAGATGTTGAGATGGAAGGATCTTGAAATGTCCATCCGCTTCCACCGGGACTGTTTCAGATGGTCGCATCTGGAAGCGACGAGAGAACTCGAGCATCCAAAAGTAATTAGGACGCCAATTATTAGCAGATGGGCTAACTTAGTTAGCAGGCTAACTGACTGGGCCAACTTAATTAGAAGGCTATTTGGACGGGGGATGGATGTGGAGTAATTTCATTTACACCAGACCTTGTTTGTTTTAGCAAAACTGTTTACGTAAAACCAAGTCAATGGATCAATGATTGTTGTCAACATGATAGCCTGGTGCTGAAGCGGGTCTCCATATCTTTTATCCGTGTGAACTCGTATTGTTCTGATGACCCTTTGGTCTAAATCTAACTCAAGTTTAAGCTTCTTTACACTTCAATCCATTTCATAGTTTATAAGAATAGCTAAAATATTTTTCGATTATGTATAATAATCTATTCCAAGATCAACTGAAAGAACTTCCTCTCCAACTAAATTCCATTCCATCCATCGCTAAAGAGGAGCAATACTGAGAGATAGATTCTTAATTTTCTATTTTTATCTTTCATATTTTTTATCTTATCTTCAGAAGATTTTCTGTGTCTACATAAGGCCACATATGAGTCCTATTTATAGGAATAGACTAGCCTTCTAGCTAACAAGTTATAATGGTTTAGAATTATATATATTCAAAAACTCAATCCATAACGGTTAAGGATAGAATAGAACTGTATTGCATTTATACCTCTTCTAATGATATAAATGAGACCAATTGGATATCGAGAAATAATTATTAATCAAATTAATAATATTAATTTGACAATCAAATCCCTATTCGACCAAATATTCATAAAATTTTTTTCATAATATGAGATTAAATATTCATGAATAATGTTGTCTTATATCCAGTCCTCTCAAATATCATTTATTTTAGACAACTTTATCGAGTAGACCCGTTTACCTAATTTCTCATGCCTAAATTGCAATGAAGATGAAGATGAATAAAAAAATATTTCCAAACATCAAAATATTTTATTTTTATAGGAAAATAAATTTTAAAAAATATTTTCCCAAAAAATCAATTGATGGAAATTAAATAATTTTATGGGATATTTACAATAAATTAATTCATCATAATGAGCATATTGAATTTTATTTAGATATTTATCATTTACCTAAATAAAAATTAATAACATAACATTTCAGGTTGTGTAGCGTTTGCTAAACAAGATTAACCATCACATCAAAATATACTAATTGTCAAATTAGAAATGATATTGTCATCATGTCAAAAGAAAAATGTAACAATTCGAATTCTCTATCTCTTAGGTGACTCGTCCTAGAAAATCTAAATATGTTCTAGTGCTACACATATCACAATATGTGCTTATGACATGCACCCGAAGAATCACTATTCTCGATGATTGAGACCCACCACATCTCACGCATAATAACATGCTATAACTAAGTTATCATTTAATTTTAAAAATCTTTAAGATAGATTATATCTCTAAGCAAGTGATCATCACGGTGTATGATCTCACAAAAATAATTTCTAAAGATACTATAAGAATTATAAAAATAATATCCAAATTATATGTGTAACAATTAAATCTATCAATATTTTAAAAATATTACATAATTTCTGTTGGCTCTTCAAGGGTATAATTTTACTACTCCAACATGAACTTCAGCTGATGTTAGCTTGCCTAGCTTACACACGTACATTTTTATTTTCATATTACTAAGCTCTAGCATTTACATGTTAATTTGGGACGCTCTAGGTTTCCCGCAGTTTCTTTTAAGAATATTTAAATCGTGATCCTTAGTTTTTGCATGTTAATTTGGATCTCTTAGTTGCCCATAGTTTCTTTTCAAGAGCAATAAAATCGCGATTTGCAACTCATTTCTAATCCACCTCTAGATGTTCCTTAATTTCTCTTATGCCTATGCACCGTACCATCAGCTATCTTTGCGCACAAGTGTTCATTATGTCTTTCGACTGTTGTAACGAATTATTCATTCTCAATAAATATCAATTCACCTTTCCATCATTATTCTTGGTTCATTTTTCAAGTTAGATAAAGTTAAGGTCTATGACTATTGAGTAACTTCACAGGTTCCTCCTTTAAATGTTTAAAGTTGTTAAATTCATAGTTTAAATTTTTAATGCCATGGTGCAATATAATAGGATATGAATACTAGGTTTCTTATCTTCATGTAATATATTATGTGAAATAAATAAAGAACGTTGCTATATGGACCCAAAATATAAGACTATTGGAGGAAATATATGAAGTGTCCCCCTCCTATTGCATAATGAGCTGGCAATCATCTGTCCTCTCAAACGGTCCCACATTTTAGGTCCTTAAGGCATTTTACATAGATAAATGTTATATATATAGATAAATGTTAAGAGAATCAATTTTGAACTTCGACAATAAGCTTCATAATCCTTGGAAAACAAAAATACAGCGACCTGAATTCTAGACTACATTTTAGGTACCAATTTTAAAATTGGCTGAAATAATCAGCACTATTGCACAACAAGCCACTAATTTATAATCCAATAAAATATAGTTAAACAATTTCACATTCAGGCGTAAGATTTTAGATACCTTACTTCAAACTTTCAAACACAGACATACATGACATAATAAACCTCATCAATCCACACACACAAACACTAGAGACACTCGCATGCAGAAAGCTCAAGAGGAGGACTCGCAACACGACAACGAAAGCTCGGAATTAACACAACCAACCGATTTCTGATCTGTTCTTCTAACTAGAGATTTCAATGGCCTTCACCTCGGGCTTCTTGACTTCCTCCTTGGGCACGATCACAGTGAGCACGCCGTTCTCCATAGCCGCCTTTACCTGATCCATCTTTGCGTTCTCCGGCAGCCTGAACCTCCTCAGGAACTTGCCGCTGCTCCTCTCGACCCTATGCCACTTTTCATTCTTCTCCTCCTGCTCCTTGCTCCGCTCTCCGCTGATCTGCAGAACTCTTCCTTCCTCCACCTCAACCTTCACCTCTTCCTTCTTCATCCCCGGAAGATCGGCCTTGAAGACGTGAGCCTCGGGCGTCTCTTTCCAGTCGATGCGGGTGCTCGCAAAGGCAGAGGCCTCGCTGAGAGCGCCGCCGGCACCAGAACGATCAGCGAGAGAGCGAGATGAGTCGAAAGGCCAGCCCTGAAAGGGATCCCAGACATCGAGGGAGAACGGGTCGAAAACGTTGCTCCTCTGACCGAAGATTTGAGGAATTAGAGCCATCTCTCTACAGAAACTATCTAAAGCTAAAAGCTGAGGATGCCAACTTTTGCCGTGCCTTCGAATGTGATGAACAGAAAGAGGGAAGGACTAATTTATGTAGGTTGAGACGGAAGGATCTCGAAAATTCTGTCTGCTTCCACTACACAAAATGTTCCCTGGGGCACCTCAAAAGTTTTCCAGATGGTTATCTCTAGAAAGAACGGGAGAATTCCATAACTATCACGATTCTTGTCGACAACTCAAATAATTAAGCCCGCAATTATTAGCAAATGGACCAACTTAGTTAGCAGGCTAATAGAACAATAGGCCGACTGGAATTTATTTCATAGCATTCTTCTTTAAATCAATTTTATAGTTTTGTACTTATACAATATGAAGAGTTCTTGAATTGCCAATTGATTTAACTCTCTTCTTCTAGTGAATCGTTTGTTTTCGGTCCGAGCATCATTCGAACTAATTAAAATTTTGGAATTTCTATCTTGAGAGGGGTGTATTAGATTCATGTGAGCAGTTAGATCACTAGAAAACCAAATACGGAATCTCAATTGAATATTTGACCATGTCAAGAAGAAAAGATCATATCTTCTAATCCCAGAAGTAATTGTGAGACGTTTAAAATATATTTTTGATAGCTCGATTAGATAGTCCTATCTATATCGGCTCATGACACACAATCTCGTAAGTCTAACCTCCCTTAATGAACCATTTTACATTATCGATAAAATATGAGTTTTTTTTTTAACTCACACCGAATGACTCAACTAGTTTATCAATTAGTCACACATATCTGCACACATATTACATGAAACTCTTTTGAGTGGATTAAAGGACTTACGAGATTGTAATTCTAACTTTTAAATTGAAATTGTGATTGTAGGATATTTCCTAAGATGCAGGCAACCTACAATGTACACACATTGTACTGGATGGCTATTGCTCTGGGTTATTTAGGTATTCAGTTTTCATTGTTGATTTTTTACTTTTAGGCTATGATGATTGTCAAATTTCTGAGATTAACAACCTGCAATACCTATTGATATTGCACTAGATGGCTAACAATGATGATATTGACTAAGTTCTGAGCCCTAAGCCGTAATTTTCATACATGCTCAGGTAAGTTCTCAACTAGTGGTATGTTAGTTCTAGTTGAGCCCCTGTTAGTTCTAGTGGCTCTCGTGTTAGTTCTAACTTCCAGCTAGTGTTATTTCTAATATAAGCGTGAGTTCTAGTGGTATGTTAGTTCTAGGCTATAATGATTGTCAAAATTTCTGAGATTAATAACCTGTAATATCTATTGATATTGCACTGGATGGCTAACAATAATGATATTGACTAAGTTCTGAGCCCTAAGCCGTAATTTTCATACACCTTGTATAATGCTTACAAGCTCAACTCACACACACGTTTTTGAGAAAATATCATATTTATGTATTATGGACATAATGACAATATTTTATACCTTTATTGACTCCTTTAATCCACTCAAAAGTATTTTTAAATATGTTTACAATTATCGAGTTAAAATCAAGTAGTTATGAACTCGTATTTTTAACATTTTTCACAAAACATGATCTTTCATAAATATGAGGTGCTATTTGAAAAATTCTCTTTCAAACAAGTTTGTGTTCATATTTAAAAACTTTACCCAAACTTTTACCTTTTTTAGAGCTCATTTGCTATTTTTTTAATTGATTTCTAAAAGTCTAGTTTTTCAAATATATTGTTGATATAATTCTGAGCCTGGCTCATGGATGGCTGGTGGGTGTTTGGTTGGTTGGTTGGTTGGTTGGTGTTCATGGATGGCTGGTGGGTGTTTCCTGGTTCATTGGTTGGTGGGTGTTTCCTGGTTCATTAGCTGGTTGGTGTTTCTTTGCATATTGTTTCCTGGTTTTTGTTGGTTTTCAGTTTTGTTTTTGTGCTGGCTTCGTGGCTGTTTGTGATGATGATGATCTCATGTTGTTGTTTGAGTTCTTGGAAAACAGGTTTTGTGTGCACACATTGTTCAGGTGTTGTTTTGTGTTGTTGGTTGGTGTTGTTGGTGCTGTTTTATTCAGGTTTGTTCTCAGCCAGGTTTTGTGCACATATGACCAGTTTTGTAAGAGGTGTTGTTCGTTCATATATGCTTAGGTTTATTCTCAACTAGTGGTATGTTAGTTCTAGTTGAGCCCCTGTTAGTTCTAGTGGTTCTTGTGTTAGTTCTAGCTAATGTCATGTTAGTTCTAACTTCCAACTAGTGTTATTTCTAATATAATTATTTTCTTCTAGTGGTATGTTAGTTCTAGTTGAGCCCCTATTAGTTCCAGTGGCTCTCGTGTTAGTTCTAGCTGATGTCGTGTTAGTTCTAACTTCCAACTAGTGTTATTTCTAATATAATTGTTCTCTTCTAATGGTATGTTAGTTCTAGTTGAGCCCCTGTTAATTCTAGTGGTTCTCGTGTTAGTTCTAGCTGATGTCATATTAGTTCTAATTTCTAGCTAGTGTTATTTCTAATATAAGCGTTAGTTCTAGTGGTCTGTTAGTTCTAATTGAGCCCCTGTTAGTTCTAGTTGCTCTTGTGTTAGTTCAAGCTGATGTCGTGTTAGTTCTAACTTGTAGCTAGTGTTATTTCTAATATAAGCGTTTGTTCTAGTGGTATGTTAGTTCTAGTTGAGCCCATGTTAGTTCCGGTGACTCTCGTGTTAGTTCTAGCTGATGTCGTGTTAGTTCTAACTTTCAGCTAGTGTTATTTTTAATATAAGAGTTAGTTCTAGTTGAGCCCCTGTTAGTTCTAGTGGTTCTCTTGTTAGTTCTAGCTGATGCCGTGTTAGTTCTAACTTTCAGCTAGTGTTATTCCTAACTTCTCGTGTTTGTCTACAATGGGGGTAATCTTACCATAATAACCATAAAAACTTTTCTCTACCCACTTCAACACCAACCAAACACAAGAAAAGTGAAAAATGTCAAATCAACAAAAATTTTCCTTTATTTTCCATCCAAACCAAACATAAGAAAAGTAAATACATTGATTTCCCACCATATTTTACATGCGAAACCAAACCAAAACAATCAATTTCTTCGAAAAGTTCGAAAAACTCAAAGCTTGAGTTTGTTTACATGGAATTGCATTTCCCTATATCTAGAAAACGAACCAAACAGCCCTTTATGTGAAATTGTGTTGCTGTGGTAATGAAAATTACAAAAACAATTTTAGGATGACAAGTTAGAAATCTTTACTTGTGAAGTGTGTTTTGATGGGGGTACATCCATATTATATAACAACTATGCTTTGCTAAACGAAGTTCTCAACCAGGTTGATACCTCGAGAAGAAGATTTAAATAAACATGACGGTTTGGGAGTCTTCTCCGCTATTTTTTACGGTCAATCTGCTGCAGTTTAAATAATAGGGACTACCACTTCTAAGAAAGACATGCTTTTGACCAAGTTTTATCTACAGTGTGTGCTAAAATTCTCATAGTTTTCGAGAAGTAGATTTTGACGCCTCAAGATTCTTGGCTGCGAAATGGATTTTGAAAAGAAGGGATAAAAGTAATATTTATAATTGAGGTTCCATTAAAGCTACTTTGAACATAAGGAGTAGCCGGTTTCTAAATGGGGCTCTCATCTTGTTCAACGATCATCTCGATCTTGTGCGAAATGCCATGTAGTTAGAGTTGAAACTTGCTTGGGATAATCTCTCAACCCGTAGTTGTTCTTAATTTTTTTGATTGATGGTTTGATGGTTTGCAAAAGACTCCACGATCAAGATATATTAACCATGCAAAATGAGGGTCATGAATTCTAATTCTCCTGCGCTGTGTCCTCAAGCAGAAGTGTAGACCCGGCGTGTGAACAGCGGCCGCGAGACACCTTTTGGTGTCTCGCCAGCGGAGACACAATTGGTTTAATGTACAAGTCGTGTCTAATGTAATATAATGGGTCTGCTAGAGTTAAATACTCCCTTATTTTTTTTCTTTCAAAGGCTAGAGGTCATTTTTTCTTTCAGGTTACTGACTTGAGATCCAAGTACGTGTATTAAAGGAATGACAAGAGAAGGAAAGCTCACAGCATGTATATATATAACCATGTTTCCGGAAAAACTATCTTTTTTAACTTCTCACAATTGTAACATGACTCTGGCCTAAATTCAAAATTCTAATACGGAATTAAAAAAACAAAAAAGGCAAAAATTTCACATTCAAACAAAAAAAAAATTCCTCAAGGACCCAACATATGAGACCAATAGAGGGGACAAGTGATGTGTCCTCCTTCTATTGGATAATGAGTTGACCATCATTAATGATGAGCAACTCATTATTCAATAGGAGGGTGACACATCACTTGTCCCCCTTATTGGTCCCATGTTTTGGATCCCTGTAGCAAAACTTAAAACAATTAGCCAAACCGAGGAACTTTACTACTTCAAACTTCAAACATACGCATACGGGGCACAATAGACCTCATAAACCGAGCACACAGGGCACAATAGACCTCATAAACCAACCACACACACAAGAACGCGTACAATAACACCAGACTCTCACACAAACCTCGGACCAGACTCAAAACACCCAGCCTAGACCAAAACACTTTGCTGACGCTCGGAAATACAAACAAAAAGCACGGATTCCAACATTCTTTTAGCCGGAGATTTCAATAGCCTTCACCTCAGGCTTCTTAACTTCCTCCTTAGGCACAGTCACCGTGAGCACACCGCTCTCCATCGTCGCCTTCACCTGATCCACCTTGGCATTCTCCGGCAGCCTGAACCTTCTCAAGAACTTGCCGCTGCTCCTCTCGATCCTATGCCACTTGTCATTCTTCTCCTCCTGCTCCTTCCTGCGCTCTCCGCTGATCTGAAGCACTCTTCCCTCCTCGACTTCCACCTTCACCTCTTCCTTCTTCAACCCCGGAAGATCGGCCTTGAAGACGTGCGCCTCGGGCGTCTCCTTCCAGTCGATGCGGGTGTTCGCAAAGGCAGAGGCCTCGCTGAGAGCGCCGCTGGCGCCAGAGGTGTCGAAAGGCCAGCCCTGAAAGGGATCCCACACGTCGAGGGAGAAGGGGTCGCAAACATTGCTCCTCTGACCAAAGATTCGAGGGATCAAAGCCATCTCTCTGCAGAATGATCTCAAGATGAAAAATTCTTCTACTTCTTCTGACTTCGGTAATTAGAGCGCCGCTTGCTTACAGTGTG